GGCGTTCAATGTGACTAACTCCCGTCGTCTATCTAACTTATCTACGCCACTGATTTGATTTTCAGAAGGTCTTTACATGAAGTATATGGTGTCGAATCCGCACCATGGCGGCAGCTAACCGATATCGAGCATGATGACAACAGCAACCTGTTGGACTAATTTCATGATAACCCACGAAACGTAGTGTTGAGAGTGAAAGGTCCATCCTATCAATCTGAGTATTAAAAGAGTCCAATTCGTCTTCGAACAGCAAATCAGAGAAACAGACATCTCTCATCACTAACGTGAATTAGATCACAAGAGTGCACAACATAAAATATCTGAAGTTTACTTGGTGGCAAGATAATAAAATAGGGGCGAATTTGTTATCCAAACTGATGTGCTTGCAAGAATAGTTTAGGCACTCGAAGGCGTCTGTAAGCCAGTTGCAATTGGAAACGTCGAACTGCACATATCAGCCGAATAAGGACACGAATCTTTCGACTATATTTGCCTGATAACGATCATCCAGGCCAATTCCGTCTTGAGTAATACGGCCTGAAGTCGCTGAAGAAAGCGACGAGTATAAAATAAATTTCCTTTCCTATGAGATGTTAGTCGACATTGTAAGGCGTGTTTCCAATTTGAAGCGATTTCTTGAGTTGGGGTGTAATATTACTTATCTTGAAGCATAATATGCAAATATTTCAGTCATGCTAGGATGCTGCCTTTTGAACGTGCTTCTTATCGGACTCCTGAAACAACTGTGCTATAATTACTTGAGCCGTACGCATTTCACCATGAGTTTTTGACGTTCTCATAAATTCAGATATATTTTATGGAAAATTTGTACAAAACTACTCCCTCTTGTACTCATTGGGTAGTAGATTAGGCCTTACTTAAAGTTTATATTTGAAGAGGGAGAACCTTTAGGTCTTAATAAAGGCCTTTTTTGGTTCCCAACTAATTTTGCCTTGGGGCAGCTGTTGCACTAACATTCAGGGTTTAAGTCTGCAAACTGTATATTATCTTATAAAGAAAAACATACATTTCCGCATGTTATTAACAAGACGAGCTAAAGGGTTTATAAACTTTTGCAATGGATGTGCATCACGTTGTATATTCTCCAAGCAACATAAATAAATGCAGACATACAGTGCTGTATCACGTCACGATGCTACAAGTCGCATTAATGTAAACAGTTTTAAACCGGAAGATGCCTTTCCTTCAAGTATAACACTTAA